CAGGCACCTAATTAGAGGAGCCACGCCCGCGCGGCTCCACTAATTAGGTGGGTGGCCCTTCATTCTCTCATGTGCGGCCGCCCAGGAGTGCTCCTTAGAGGGAACTATCCGCGGATCACCTGAATGGCGCTCGCGGACCAGCGGTGGTCTGTGGACCACAGTTTGAGAACCTCTGAATTAGAGAACGTGCTCGTTTAAAGTTGCCCAATGCTCCCTTACAGTGTTGTTTGGCAGCCGCCTGCTTTGTCCATGCGGAGATAAAGGAAGATGGAGGCACGCGTCAGGACCCTAATTGGGCCTTACCCCTTCCCCAAAGTCTCCACCCCCTCCCTGCTCCTATTGGATCCCTTCCCCAAAGCCCCGCCCTGGCCCCGCCTCTTCCCTGAGTGCACCGTGTTCCCCTCCCTCCCTCCTCCCTTCCAGCCTCGCAAAACAGCTGTTTTGTGGCACAAGCGCTGGGAGCGAGGGGAGCTGCCACACCCACCAATTTTTCCCCGTGGGTGCTCCAGCCCTGGAGCCGGAGCCTATGATTGCCAGCCTGGCCTAGAGAGGGTTCTTCGGTTTCCTGGAAGGAGAAAGGAAAACATGAGTAGAGGAGATGAAAGACACAGAGCCAGGCACCACTGGGAGTTGAACCCAGGATCTCCTGTTTACTAGACAGGTGCTTTAGCCAGCTTAGCCATGGTGCCCCCACATGGAAAATACTTCAGAACGGCTGCACTTGATGGGCCAAGAGGATACCAGCCAATTCCAAAGCAGAGACTTACTCCATTTCCGGCAGGCCGGGCAGACATGGAGCTGTCTGGCTCCCTATGCACACAAAGCCACAATAGAGCACGCAGAGACTTCCCAAGGTGCTCCCCTCCCCACAGCAGCTGTGAGGGTGTGGTGGGTTGTATTCTGTGGGTTGTGCTCGTAGCAACCTGGGCTCGACTCTGAGTCATAGCGAGCTTTTCATCAGCCCCAGACTCACTGTTTTCCGCCTTCCAACACTTAGCCGCAGGGAGGGCTCTCAGTGTCTGGCCCAAATGCTTAAAGCATTGCCCGGAAGGTCTTTTCGGTTTACGAGGAAGAGAGACAAAAAACGGAGCCGCGCAGACAAGCTGGGCTCAGCGAGGAACAACTGGCCGGCCACGCCGGCATCTCCTGGTTACGGGGAAGGCTTGTCAGCCAGCTCTCCCGAAAGGCCACTCGCTAGAGGCCTCGCAACAACCCCTGCAGATGTTCATCTAGAAACGCAAAGAGCTGCCGACACAGTTCTCCACTCCCTGGAGACGTCCAGCTCTCAGGAGCTCCGTGCACAGAGGCCCCTGCTAGCGGAAAAGGGCTTTGGCAGACACTCTTCTGTCCCCAGCCATGGCCACATAGTGCTTAGTTCTCTGCCTGGTGCCTTCCGCGGCTGCAAGTGGAGTTACGGCAGCCGTTGGTTGTCTCCACGCTTGTCGGGTGCCTCCTTCCGACACGTGTCCCCCGAAATCCCTGTGTCTTTTGCAAGCGTTTGTACGGCTAGACAAAGGCGGGTTTGTCCATTTCCTCCAAAGACAGACAACAAGGTTGGAAGAGGAGACATGTTTGGTGAGGCACCACTGGGAGCCGGATCCAGAATCTTGTTTTTACCCAGCAGGTACCAGTTTAGCCACGGCGCCGCCCTCGGAGGCTTTTCTCAACCTGTTCCACTTCTTCCCTGACCCCAACGACAATCGAAAGTGAGGTGAACTGGGAGTAACGCTCCATTTCCTGCCAGCCCTGCGGAGGTGGCGCTCTCTGGATCTCTGCACGATGACATCCCCAGCGAATTGCAAGGGCCCGTGTCATGGGCTCTCGTCCTGTTGCAGTTAAAGCCACCTTCTTGCCAATGCCCATCACGGCAGCCTTTTCATCGGCTCCTGGCTGGATTCTTTCCAAGAAAGAATCCAGCCAGGAGCCGCTGCTCCACAAAGAGGTCTCTTCTTTTACAAGCCTTTGCCAGCCCGGCCTAGGGAGGGCTTTTTTCCTGGAAGGAAAAAGGAAAATGTGAGCAGAGGAGACAAAGCCAGGCACCACTGGGAGTTGAACCCAGGATCTCCTGTTTACTAGACAGGCGCTTTAGCCAGCTTAGCCATGGTGCCTCCCTCCTTCAAGTCCCCTCATGCTGCTGTACTTGATGGTCCCAGATAATACCGGCCAAGTCCAAAGCAGAGATTTAATCCAGTTCCCGCAAGACCGGCAGACATGGAGCTGCCTGGCTCTCTCTCTCCTCTCCTCTTTCTCCCCAGAGCTCTCCTTTCTTACGCCATGGTGACAAAGCACTGGTGTTGGCAACATTTTTGTCACTCAGGGGTGTGAACCCCCCCCGAGCAACGTAAGTTTTGCCGGCATAACCGCTCGGGTGCACAGCCCCGTGTTAGCAGGAGATGCTCTCCCGTCCCCACGGCTCTGCCGCTCGCGGCGCCGCTGGAAGCTTGTATGTGTAGACATGGCCTTACTAGGGGAGCTCTGACCTGCTCCTGCCTGTCATCCCTCGGGGATTTCTCACCTCTAGGGCCCGGGCGCCCTCTTTTAAGGGCAATTGCAGTGAGCTGATGGGTGACGGGTGCACTGGCTCTGTTATAGACTCATAGTCTTTAAGGTCAGAAGGGACCATTATGATCATCTAGTCCGACCTCCTGCACAACGCAGGCCCCAGAATCTCACCCACCCACTCCTGTATCAAACCTGGGTCTGAGCCACTGAAGTCCTCAAATCGTGCTATAAAGACTTCAAGGTGCAGAGAATCCTCCAGCAAGTGACCCGTGCCCCACGCTGCAGAGGAAGGCGAAAAAAACCCTGCCAATCTGCCCTGGAGGAAAATTCCTTCCCGACCCCAAATATGGCGATCAGCTAAACCCTGAGCATGTGGGCAAGACTCACCAGCCAGACACCCAGGAAAGAATTCTCTGTAGTAACTCAGATCCCAGCCCATCTAACATCCCATCACAGGCCATTGGGCATATTTACCGCTAATAGTCAAACACCAGTTAATTGCCAAAATGAGGCTATCCCATCATACCATCCCCTCCATACACTTATCAAGCTTAGTCTTGAAGCCAGATATGTTCCCGCTCCAAGGGGCAGAGTTGCCCTGTGACACACGTAGCCGCGAGCAGGCAGGGAAGAAATTTCTGCGTGGGGAGTTCTTGTGAGATTCCAGTTCCTTTAATTTCAGGAAAATCCAGCCTGGGTAGGGAAAAGCCTTCGTTTCCCAGGAATCAAGCACAGACTAGAGAAACAGAGCAGCAAATCCCAACCGCTAGATCATTGGTTCTCAACCTCTCCAGATGACTGTACCTCTTTCCGGTGTCGGAATTGTCTTGCCTACCCCAAGTTTCACCCCACTTAAAAACGACTTGTTTACAAAATCAGACATCGATACACAAAAGTGCCCCAGCACGTTATGACTGAAAGATGGCTGACGGTCTCATTTTTACCAAATCATTATAAAATAAATCAATTGGAATATAACTATTGTGCTTAAGAACATAACGTAAGAACATACTGGGTCAGACCAAAGGTCCATCTAGCCCAATATCCTGTCTTCCGACAGTGGCCAATGCCAGGTGCCCCAAAGGGAATCATCAAGTGTCCATCCCCTGTCACCCAATCCCAGCTTCTGGCAAACAAAGGCTAGGGACACCATTCCTTCCCATCCCGGCTAGTAGCCATTGATGGACCTATCTTCCATTTCAGGGTATAGCCTATAGAGCGGTATAAACAAGTCATGATCTGTATGAAATTTTAGTTTGTACTGATTTCGCTCGCGCTTTTTATGTAGCCTGTTGTTAAACTTGGCAAATGTCTAGATGAATTGATGTTACCCTCTGGAAGACCTCTGGGTACCCCAGGGGTACGTGTGCCCCTGGTTGAAAACCACGGCCCTAGACTACCAGGGAGGAGTGGGGAATTTCATGACGCATGACACACACAACACTGAAAATTCCTGTTTCTTCGTTTTTTTCCAGTGAGCTCATTTCCCAGCAGAGGAAAACAAATATTTTTCTCCATTTCATGGATTAGGCTTTGTCTACACTACGCAGCTTTTAGCGACACACCGGTGCCGCTCTACAGCCGGGATACTAAAAGGCGAGTTTGTAGGCAGGAAAAAATCTCCCACCCCTAACGAGCGGCGTTAGCGTTGTCGGCCGGAGCTGTTCACACCGACGCTTTTCCTCGATAAAACATCTGTCTTTCGGGGTGCGTGTGTGTGGTTTTTTTCACAGCTCTGAACGACAACAGTTTTGTCTTTCACTTGCCAGTGTAGACAAAGCCTCAGACAGGGGCATGAACGGGCAGAGACAGGCACGTCCCTGCATCATCACCATCAATTTGAACCTAATGAAAAACATGAAGTTCAAACCAAACCTTTCCTTTCTTGATGCTCTCCCTCACTACTCACCTGCCGCCCCCTGGCCCCGGGGAAGATAAAGGGCCTGAGGCTTCGTCTACACTGGAAACTGAACGACAAAACTTTTCTCGTTCAGGGGTGTGTCAGCGCCCCACTTCGGTGGGTGCAAATGCCGCTGGTGAGGACGCCCATCACCGGCAGAAGGAGGGTCGCGCCTGGACCCCAACAGCGGACTGAACTACTGCGGGGTCTGGAAGCGGATCTGAATTAAGTCGACCTAATTTTGTAGTGTAGACAAGAGTCGCTTTCCTGTTCCCGGGGGGGGGACGCGTTCACTCTCCCGGGGCTGGATCGGGGCCAACAGGAGCCAGAACCTCTGTGTGTGTAAACACAGTGACTCTGGAGGAGGAGGAACAGCGGAGAGGAGGGCTAGCGGTTCCCTCCTGAGAAAATCCCCTGGCCCAGGGAGTGTGTGACAGGCTGCAGCCTGGGTTGGGCTGGAAGCAGACAGGAAGGGGCTGGAATAGCTCGGAGCAAAGGGGTGCTGGCAGGAAGGAAACTGGGAGAACAAAGAACAAGCCGCAAGATGCAGCAGCTGCTGCCTCCCCGGTGGGGTCTGCGCAGGGGGAGAACCCTTCATTAAAGGGGGGAGACCTTCTCCGGCTGGAATCTGCCCCCCTAGGGCAGCCCTGGGCTCTGCGGACACCACCCCCTGAGCTGGAGACAGCAGGTAATTGAGGGGGAGAGGGGATGCTGGGGATGGGGAGGAAAGGGAGCCTCGGATCTGGCAGCCCCTGGGAATTTCCCCCCTTGTTCAGGAGACTGGGCTGGTCGGTGCTTTGACCAGGAGCAAACCTGGGGAGATTCAGGGATTTCCCCTGTGTGTGTGTGGAGGGGGAGGTGGGCCAGGCCAGGCCAGGCCAGGGCAGGGGTGGCAAACAAGGCCGAGAGGGAGGGAAGGGGAAAGACAGTGTGAAAGGCGGTGGATTGGACTGGGTGCCTCCAGGGGCAGCCAGGTCAGGGGGCTAATGAAATCCTCGCTGGTTTTGCCACTTGTCCCTCAAATGCGGCTAAAATTCTCCCTGATGATCACCGGTGAATATAAAACCCCTGCAGAGCCCCCCTCCCACCCCCGCTTTTCTCTCAAATTATTTGCCTCTGTCTCTAGCCTCCTCCTCTGATCTTGCCCCATTTTCTCTCTTAATTCTTCAGTGTCCCTTTAAAATCTCCTCCGATGTGGGATATTTCCCCACCCGTTTGACCTGCCGCAAATTGTCCTTGTTTCGATGGGACATGGTTGCCCCCGAGTCATTCCCCAAATGGGAAGGGGGTCAGCGGGTGCAGCTTGGAGAATCCTGGAGACTCGGCTGCTTCTGGGGTGGGCTGGGGCGGCCGCTCTCTGCCAGCAAGAAGGCATGGAAGGGGTAAGGAGGGGGCTGCTCAGTTCGAGGTTACCCAGCCCCAGGTGCTGTGTCCCCAACGGCCTAACATTGCTCCCCGCCAGCTACCAGTCACCTGCCCACCCCAGCCGCTGTCCCCACCCCACTACCTGCCCCATAACCCATCACTTGCCCTCTTAAAGCAGCATCCCAAAAGCTCCTTGCGCTGTCTGGCAGTGGTGGTGGGGAACTGTTCCTGTCCGCAGGTCTATTTCACTTTCCTATCCCATCCCTTCTAACCTTCCCACCTGTCTCAGTTATTTAACAGTGTCACAAAACCTCGAAAGAAGAGGTAAATCTAGGGTGACCAGACAGCAAGTGTGAAAAATCAGGACGCGGGGTGGGGGGTAATAGGAGCCTATATAAGAAAACGACGCAAAAATCGGGACTGTCCCTATAAAATCGGGACATCTGGGCACCCTAGATAAATCTGTAATGGTGAGAGACACTGGTGAATCATTGGAACAATTTACCACCGGCTGTGGTGGAGTGTCCATGACTGACCATTTGTAGGTTGTTCGGATCTTCTCATCTCTTCAGATCTTGGCTTTTTCTCTCTCTCATATGATCAAATATTTCGTTTTTCGACCTATTTTCTCCCCAGTTCTCAAAGATTGATATAAAATACCCTAACATTTTGCCCTGCTTCCCCCCCCGCCCCAATCATGTTACTCATGTTGTTCTTCTTAACTAGGGTGACCAGATGAGGTAAACAAAATATCGGGACACATGGGGGCGGGTGGGGGAGCAAAAAAAAAAAAAAAAAAGCCGAGACAGTCCCGCCGGCGGAGCAAAAAAACCCAGCGCTGCCGGCGGATATCGGGACAAATTGCATCCTGACCAAAGATCGGTCGGGACACAGGACAAACCCCGAAATATCGGGATGGTCCCGATATTATCGGGACGTCTGGTCTCCCTATTCTTAACCTCTGAGGATCGGACAAGAAGCAATGGGCTTAAATTGCAGCCAGGGCGGTTTAGGTTGGACATTAGGAAAAACTTCCTAACTGTCAGGCTGGTTAAGCCCTGGAATAAATTACTTGGGGAGGTTGTGGAATCTCCGTCAAGAGCAGGTTGGACAAACCCCTGCCAGGGACGGTCTAGATAATAGTTCGTCCTGCCTTGATTGCAGGGGACTGGACTAGACGACCTCTCAAGATCCCTTCCAGTCCTACGATTCTATGATTCCAGTTAACATTCCCTGAGATTTCCTCGTCTTTCTAATGATCAAATATGAGTCTAAAATCTCCACAGATTTGGGCCTTTTCTCAAATTCTTGACCATTGCTATAAAAGTCTAGCACTCATCGCCCCTTTTCTCTCCGCTTATCAAATCCCGCTACGAAATTCACTCGCATTTTCTCTCTTTACCGCTTGTTGGCCACTGGTATAAAATCCCTCACAGGGGCCCCCTAAAACAGGAAGTTATTTTGGCATCGCTGGGACAGGTCGACAGGGCCGTCCTTACCAATGATGGTGCCCTACGCAGCCCGAGCACCTGCTCCCCCCCGCGCGGAGGGTCTGGGTTGCACTCAAGGCCTGCGGGCCCGGGGGATTAGTCGGGGGCCGGGAGCAGGAAGCGGAACGACCCGGCCCCAGACCGCTGTGCTCCCCCTGCCCCAGCCATGTCGCTCAGGGGAGGAGGCTTGAGGGAAGGGGGTCCGCCTCCCCCCCACACTCACCGGCGGCGGGAAGCGGAGCGACACAGTGGGAAGAGGTGGGGCAGGGGCAAAGGGGGTTGTGCCGGGCCCCGCACCCCCTTAGGAAAGCACGGGGGGGCAGCTGGGGGATGGGGCCCCCAATGTCGTGGTGCCCTACGCAGCTGCGTATTCTGCGTATGCCTAAGGATGGCCCTGCAGGTCGACTATCAGTTTCACCAGAAAGGAACTCAGATCGGAGGACAGCTCTGGACCCAAGCTTGACTCTCTCCCCTCTTCCCCTTTTAGGAAATGGGATGTACATTTATCTCCCACCAAGGCCGGGAATCCAAACCTCCACCTCTCACCCCAGTCCCAGCTTCTTCACCGGGGGGACTCAGCTAAGAATGGCGCGTAGATCTGGTACCGAGAGGTACCGGGTCCCTTTAATTCTCTCTTCCGCCCGTTAGAGGGGGCGCTCCCAAGAGAGACGGGGAAAAGGCTGGGGCATCAAACAAGCTTGTAAACCGGTGACACCCCAGACGGCGGCTAAGTGTCCCCTGGCACAGCCGCCGCCGACCCCTGGGCCGTGGTGGCCCCGCCTCTTCCCGTCCCTGCTCTGCCCCTTCCCCGAGGCTCCAATGCCCACCACTGCCTGGCTGAGTCCCTCCTCTCCGTCCCCGCCCTCCCCCACGAGGCCCCCTTCCCTGGCCGCCGGCCGCTCACCGTGTCCCTGCGGGCAGTGGGGGTCTTGCGGGGCAAGGGGGGTGGGGGAGAGGAGGGACTTGGGGAGGGGTGGTGGGGGGTTGGGGGGGCCCAAGTGGGAATGGGGGCGGGGCCTGGGTGGAGTGTGGGCGGGGCCAGGGGAGGAAGAGGCGGGGATGCGGGCAGAAGAGGTGGGACTAGAGGGCTAGCCACCCCCATGAGTGACAGCCGCCCTCTGGGACAATGCCCGGGGGAATTTGATTCTGCTCTCCTGGAGCGTTTGCTTCAGAGACGGTTACTGGAGGGATAAACCAGGTCTCCGAGGTTTAATCCTGGTGGGAGGGGCTGGGGCTGGCCTGTAATAAAGTCCCTAAGGCCATGATTTCACGACACAGATTTGTCGACTTAGGGTACGTCGGCGATCACCCCACCGCTGCAATACAACCGCGTTGGCGCGTTCATGCAGCGCTCCGGGCGAGTCCCCCGTCGGTGCTCTTGCATCGGCAGCGAGAGCAGGGCACCATGGGTAGCCATCCTGCCATGCAAATCGCCACCCTCTGCCGCTGGGAGTTCTGGGCAGGGACCGCAGGGCCTCACGAGGGCGGGCTCACCATCCTGGGATGCGGTTTTCTCCGCCCCGTCATTTCGATGGGCTTCCGACAACATTTTGTGCCACTTTTCAACGGCGCCCGCTGCCCTTGTAAACGGCGCTCCTGCCATCTCCGTTTGAAAGCACGATGGATCCCATTCTGCTCTCCCGTCTTGCGCCCGCGCCGAGCAAACAGGAGGTGGAATTTCAAAGATTCCCCAGGCCTTTAAAGATGGAGGGGCACATGCCTGTGTATCTGGCTGCAGGCACAGGTGCTGGAACTAGGGGTGCAGGGGGTGCTGCCGCACATAAGAACGGCCAGACTGAGTCAGACCAAGGGTCCATCTAGCCCAGTGTCCTGTCCTCTGCCAGTGGCCAGTGCCAGGTGCCCCAGAGGGAATGAACAGAACGGGGAATCGTCAAGTGATCCATCCCCTGTCGCCCATTCCCAGCTTCTGGCAATCAGAGGCTGGGGACACCATCCCCGCCCAGCCTGGCTAATAGCCATTGATGGACCTGTCCTCCAGGAACTTATCTAGTTCTTTTTTGAACCCTGTTATAATCTTGGCCTTCACAACACCCTCTGGCAAGGAGTTCCACAGGTTGACTGGGCGTTGTGTGAAGAAGAACTTCCTTTTATTTGTTTTAAACCTGCTGCCTATTAATTTAATTTGGTGACCCCTAGTTTTTGTGTTATGAGAAGTAGTAAACAACACTTCCTTAACCTGACTGAAGTCAGCACCCGCTGACTTGAAGTGGCTTCCATTATATGCAGGGTTTATAGTTTGGTTCAATCACTCTCAGCGCCCCCCACTGTACAAATTGTTCCAGCGCCCCTGGCTGCAGGGCAACGGAGTTCAAACTGGTGACCACAGCGGTCCCCATGGGCATTGTGGGATACCTCCTGGCTTTTCTCGACAAAACCGTGTCGTGTAGAGTTGGTCTGCATGTTTCCCAGGCTGACAGAACCTTGAAGGTCTGGTTGTAGGGGAAAAAGCCCACGGGGGAATCAGGGAGGGAAATGGGAAAAAGCTCCGTGTGAAATTTCTCCAGTTGCTTTTCTTAACGTTTACAGCTGCAGAAGAGCATTCCTGTTTCACTCCAGATCTAGGTGGCCAGGGGCCCGGTTTTTGACCGGAAAGTCTGGTCAAAAAGGGACCTAACAGTGTCCAGTCAGATCTACTGACCACACACCCAAAGTCCGGTTACTGCGGGCAGGGGAGGCGGGGCCACCTCCGACCTGCGTTGGGCAGCTGCAGCTCCCAGCCCCGGCTCTGCAGGCGAGTTTCTCCTGACCCGGGCGGGGAGGTGGGAGGGGAAAAGCAGCGAGCGATGGAAGGAAGGAGAGAAGAGGAGTGAAT